GCTGGTTTAAAGGTTTACAACCTTCTGTATGACACCCTTTCCCTTTACTCGAGCTCTGTTCTTTCCTCTGTTCCTTGTCCACGAACACCTGCTGTTGCGCATGCACACCACAACAACACAGCACCACACTACACAAAACACACCACACACTCTCACACACCCACACAAGAAGTGTGAAAAGAAGTGAAAGATGCAGAAGAGCTTCTGAAAAAAGACAAATCAAATTTTGTAGTACTGCAGTACTACAGTAAAATGTGCTCTAAAAATTTAGATTTTATGTTGACAACTTATGCCTGTCAGATCTAACTTATCTACACTTACAAAACAAAAAGCACAAGATGGCCAGCCCTTCCTTGCCCTGTCACTATCCTACCTCCAACCACTGAACTCAGACACACACTGACAGAAAGGCAAGCCCCCCTCAGAGGGACTAACCTAAACAAGGAAGATAATGAAGGAAAGCAGGATTTAACCAGTTAGCAGTTAAAAAAAAAAAAAGACAAACCATTCAATCCATTTATTACTGCACTTCCATAAAGCTGGCGGACTCACAAGAGACTTTTTAAAAAATAATGGTGAAAATGGAAGCAGCAGAGCATCTTGACTTTTATGGTCTCTGGTCAAGCTAGAAAAATGCTAAATTCTACAATTCCCACAATGCAGCTGATTAATGTCTTTCATTACAGCCTTCCTGCCTCCTATATACCCATTTCTTTTTGTCATTCGTAATGCAGACTTTCTGTTAAAACTTTTACTCTCAAGCAGGAGTCGAGTTACCCCAATGACCATCAGGGACACCATCATCCCTCCAGAACCACTGAAGACACAATACAACTGTTTTTTTTTTACAAGCTGAATAATTCCCTTGGTAATGACATTAGTTTTGGTCATAAACAACACATTTTGACCTGATGGCAGCACTAGATGAAAAGTCAGAGGAGTTACTATAAGACTGAGGGAAACCAGAATGTGTACTAGTGTAATAGTTGTTCAGACGTTTTCAACGTAGCCACATATGTCAATCTGCTGGCGGTGTTAGGGAATCACCAAAATCATTAGCATTCCTTTTGGCTATGTGTACCACATTTCATGGCTGTCTATTCAATTGTTGTCAAGACATTTCACAAAGAACACTAATGTAAACATGATTGTGCTATAAAGTCAGAGGATCATCAAAGTCAGTAGGAACCATCGTCTGGGGACCATGGACGTCCAATCACTCCAATAGTTGCTGAGCTATTTCAACAAAGGCAACACAACAAGACAAGATAGAAAGTAGTTGTGAAGCTCTGCAACGTATCCCTGCACACAGTCGACATGCTACCATTGAGAAAATGAGCTGCTGTTGGGAAAGTAGACAGACTAAGACTTTGCTCTTTCTGTTTTGACCAAGCTTCATGGATATAACACAAACAAGCTAAACTCAGCCTGTGGCTGTTGTGTCCTTAAAACACACTCTCCAAGCGGTTTATTAATACTCCCACAAGCCCTTTAAACACATTGGTACAGAAAGTTGGTGCAGAGAGAGAAGAGATACAAAGAAAGAGGGGATTATAAAAGATTAGCTCGAGGACTGCCTCAACAGATTTAGGAGACCACTCAACTCAAAGGAGAAAAACTGTTTAGTGAGGCTACTTTTTAGATGCTTTTAAAACTTATACAGTTTCTCCTCCACAGTTGAAGAAAAGTATAAATGCTACACATTCTTGTAACTGGATGTAACCTGTAGTACATCCAATAAATTAGCATTTTACTTGAATGTAATCTCAGCTATTGTAGTGAATCATGCTTCTGATATAAAGAATACAGTAAGCTTAATGTTAGCTAAAGTTATTATCATACAACATGTCAGTGCTGGTTATTGCTAAATAATTTCATAGGTTCAGTTACATAGGCCTATATCATAGTACACAACTGTAAGTAGGCTACAAGAGTGAGATAGTTTAATTAGCAGTATCTGTTATTAATGTGAAATTGTTTGTGCTTTCAGATCCACGCTTACCAAGAAGGGTATCAGGTGCTTGTAGTCAAGGTGAACAGTACTGTCTCAGAAAGAAGGTCTGCACACTTACAACCATTTGAAGAGGCTCTTCAGATGCATAAAGGGTTGAGTCATTCCATATCTAAAAGGTGACATTCAGCATCCATGTAATTCTAGAGACTTAAATAGGCTATCAGACAAACAGCAATGGCAAAGAAGGAGAGTGGTGGTAAGAGGCAGGCGGTAACTCGTCAAGTAATAGGTTGATGAGTCACCTTTTGGATATTAAGTAAATGGATCATATGAAGTCTGAAGCGTGTGGGCCCTTTTGTACAAGATGGGTTATTATTCATAAAAGCATATTGATTGCATATCAGAATTCACATCAGCCACACATTCATTTGCATTTAACAACAGAGGTTAAATACCACAGTAAGAATTGTGATTGCATCCATTAATTAAGCGTCTTTAATTTGAAAAGACACAGGAAATGGGAAACATTGTACAGCACTTGTATACAAATCTGTTATGATGATGTGAGTGATAAAACATCATCTTGGGTGTATTTTAATATTTGAAAAAGCAATCCTGCTTTAAAGCCACATCCTCTATGTCACTTCAGCTTGAAGGATATCAGTTGTTCAGATCTGCGATAAGAAGAATCTTCCTCTTGGCAGAGATATTTGAATGCTGAATTAGATGAAACTGAAGTATGTCTAAATATGCTGTGTACGTAAATATCTGTATACCAGAGGCAGAGGAAGAGATACAAGTGTATGAATCCAGCAGCAGCAGCAACAGCAGCACAGTCCAACAATGTATGTGTTCCTCCATGGTGTTTTCCTCCAGCTGCCATTCTAATTTTAAGACAGAAGGGGGCAGAATTAGGTCATTCATATAATTAAATAAGCTCAATGTGGAGCCCTGCATGGCTTTTTGTACATTTATCAATTTCCCTGAGGTGTGATACCACCTGGCTGTGTGCATGTGCTGATTGAGGTTCCAGCTCATTTAGGACGCCGTTTGAATACACATGTGCTGCTTGTTTTTGAGTGACAGATGTGTGAGGATGAAGTGAAAATTAGCTGGATGGGCTGTCAGAGGGGAGCTGTTTCCATTCCCTAGTTCCCCATTTCTTTATCTGGCTCACTGACCTGTGGTGCTGGGCTTATCTACGCTATGACTGTGGAGGACCACTAGATCTCATTTTAGATGGGCTGCCTTTAATGGGAGGCCAAGGAGCACGCTCAACATGTCATTTAAAAAGCAGTGGGGGTAGAAAGAAGACAGAGGGGTCCATGGAAAACCCATTTTATAGCAAGTGGGCCTTGATTCCTCTGATTCTGCCTCACACACAGACAGCAAACACACTGACGGACAGCTTCATGCACAGCTGCTGTCAATACTATTTTGTCATTCTCATGTTAGCATCCCATTTCCTGTTTCTCTGTCTGCCATCTTCAAACTGAGAGTCTTAAAAACACAGCTGGAAATCATCCTCAACTATCCTCCCCAACTCAGATCATGAGCTGTGTACGGACTGAGTTTGACTGCAATAGATGGCCTACACTGTTTAGCCAACTGACTGCGGTTTTATCATACGTCTTTGTGGAAGCTGCCTGAAAAGATATTTGAGCCATGATGGACTTGCTGAAGCCTGGAATGGAGCTGCCGCCGATACAGTGGGGGATCAGAGGAAATTCTCCTCTTGTGTGAGTCCCACCCAGGACCTCATCCAGACGTTAGTGTGAGCCACAGGTCTAACTGTACAGTGCTTCATCCTCAACTTAGGAGCTCAGGACTGAGAGCTCAACCTGAAATGTGGTTATGAAGCAAATTTCTACTTCGTTGGCCATAAAGATTAAACTGCACTTGTTTTTGCCTAAGTGTGAAATTTTAATTTCATGCCTAAAAGAGCGCAAAATTAGGATGTGATTAAACAAGCTGATTTCCTACTTTTTAATGAATTCGTTTTATCTTTATCTTTTTGCTTGTATTTAGTTGGCATGTAAAATGTCACATATTATATACCATTCATTGCTGAATTTAAAAAAAAGGAAAATCACAGAGATTTTTAGGATTAAGAATGGCCATTTTAAGCAGGTACATATAATTGTAAATATAATGCAAATAGCTGAATAACTGCAGTAAGCATTCTTTAGGCCAACACTGCGACATCATCTGCTTCCACTGCACTGTTTGGTTCCTATTTCAAAACTAAAGTTCTGGTGAATGTGCCCCGCAGTGACTTTGATTAAAATAAATGAGAAAATCCATTTGTGACCCCCCTCCCACCAACCCCACCCCCATCTGAGATTGCATCCTAATAGATGGTGAGCGTACAGTGTACTTTCTCTTGTTTGTTACAGCACGCACGCTCCATTATTCTCTCTAGCCTATTTTTCTTTACCAAGTACACATATCTGTTTTTTTCCAAGGGTGGGGAAAGATAACCAATTCAGGGACAAATGATTCAGACCTTCTCAGATGATAATGATTAATGTGGGGGGAATTAGAAACTGCCTTCCCTCGTTAATCAGTCAGAGAAACAGCAAAGCGCATTTTAGAAGCTACTGGTCTACCTATTAGTTGATTTTGTTTTGCTTTGGGGCGAGAATCTGCAGACTTAATATGAAGGTATATCTTTTAGCCACTGATTTTTACACTTGCCAGCAGATCCTGACAAAAGAAAAGGCTCAGAATGAATCTAAGCTTTTTGGATGCCTGCCTTGTTTTCTCACTACCTGCTCCAGTCCTCAGCTCCTAATTATCCTGGTCTTGCATATTAAAAACTGTATATTAGTCAATGTAATCTTTTTATATTCATTCTGTGAAGATGGGGGCATAATATGTGGCTTGAAATACAGAGACAAGGTACAAACTGATGTTAAAATGCAACCTGACAGAGGGCAGCAAAGATCCACGTTTGCACAGTTTGACAGACAATTTTACTAGCTAAAATATTTTTATCTGTAAATATGTTTGTATAGTTATAGAAGGAGCTGGTTCACAACACAAGTTCAGTACATATCCATGATGAAAGTTTATTTGTCTTGCATTCAAGGAACATTTTCCTGACAACAGCCTGACATAAAAAAAAATCGAGGACCTAATGTAGACAGACAATTCACCTGCATATCAAGTCACTTAATATAACAATGGTCCTTAGAAGCCGGTTGAATATCTATTTCAAAATCACCTCTTACATGACCATATGCGAATAAAGACAAAAGTAAACATTGCAAAATAGGCATGTGTTCTTGTTAGTCATATTGATAGTTTATTGTCATTTACAAAGATACAAAAGCTATAACTGTTGACTCAGTTGTTTGTTACTTAGCTGAAATGTTTCCCATGATGCAGCTGCTGTGTATGTGTATATTAATTACTCAGTACCTCTGGGTACTCTCGATGTCACTCCAATCTTTTGATGCAACTACACTTACAGAAAAAAACTTGACTGAGAATGAAGAAGCAGGGAGCATGCAAGTGTGTGTGCATGTCATCATCAAGTTTAAATATATATATTCTCATGTGAGTCACTTGTCAGTTGTGGGCCAGAAAATAAATATGACACACGCCGAGGTGTTTCCTGGGTCTCAAGTGTTATATGCTTCTGCTGGGTGAGTCATTATGCCGTCAACGAGGAAAAGCAGCATCAGTCTCCCTGTCCTCCCACTCTGTCTCTGGGAATGATGCGAAGCTCTGAGCCGTGTTTTAAAAACACATTCCCTGCAACACAGGACAGAGCACCACATAAAAGATCACAGTTTATAATTAGTGTTCTTTATTACGGAGTTTTACTATCAAAAACACTGATACACTGCAAACATGTCAACTCGCCAGCTTGAAGATAAAGTTGGACTTTATTCTCAAAAGATACAATTTCTAGCCTCAGAAATTATGGTTTGAACAAAATAGTGGTGGCAACCTGAAAACTATTTAATTTAGTATAACTGAATCTGATTAACTTAAACCTTAATATTAGGAAAATCTAGATTTGTTTTCAATTTTGCACACAAGTTAGGTAGTCAGATTAATTGTAAAGATTTCAAAAACAAGGTCAGAGATGTTTAAGGTGAGGGATAAAATAGTTTCCTCAAACCTAATATGCAGGCGATTTGTCCCTCTGCAGTTGCCTATTGTTTAGAATTTGGGTGGATTTTGGCAAGGACAAACTTAGTCAGTTCATTTGAATAATTTATACTACTTCATTATGGAACCACAGATAGGAATTCCATTCATTAATGTGTTCATTCAACCGGCTGATCATGCTTAGATCATATATGTAACACTCATTCCCAGAACCATCAGTGTAAGTGCACTGTTAACACTCCGCAGGAAATGTATGAAACTGGCCTTATACAGATGTTTGAAAAAAAAGAGATTATTTTATTACACTGGATCATTTTCCACCACCTCCTCAGTGCTGTGAACACGAGGTAGAGTGGCTGCAGTGGGTGAAAAAAGGCAGTCTGACAGAGGTGTCTGAACTGAGGCTATTCTTGGCAGCACACAGCACAAATGTTACGCAGATAAAAAGCTGTTGTGAATACCCACCACGCTTTCCTTTCTTAGCAGAAAAGACCCAATCTTGCCTTCAGTCAATACAGGCATTACCTTATCCTGCTCTATGCAGAAAACCCAGATATCTGTTACCAGTCTTTGTGAAGGATGGTGACTTACATAAGGAGAGGTGGGCTACACGTTAAGTATGAACCTCAGGGAAAACACCAAGGAGGCTGACACAGAGAAAAAGTGATTCACCAGGGCTCGGCAGTAATGTGGGAATCTAAAGTCAAGTGAATTCTGACTAAACAGCTTTTTGCATCTAGCATCTAGTTCGCCTCCAGTCAGGGGTAACTTTTTAATTGAATTTAACATTAAATTCCTGCCTCTCGTGGCACTGCATTTATATTCATGAATCAGTAAACACCATTTCCATGCAGACAAGTATGAGGCCTGCTCAAACACAGAGATATCGGTTAAATTAGGATTATTACCTTGAGTTTAACCAACACACCACCATGCACAAGCCACTTTATTTCACTGTAATTCTCCTCAAGAAATTATCTTTTCTTTTATTTATTTAGCACTGATGTAGTGACCCCTGTGGGTTGAACAGTTTTAATCGGTTGCAGTCCTGACCACGCTCAAACACCAATATAAATGTGGCTGGATATTGATTGCATTATGGTACAATATTACATCACCTTTGGGTTCCTGACAGATTGGGTGCAGTTACTCTACAAATAAAGATTTTCAGAACGTACTTCGCAGGTCAGCATCATGAGCCTGGACTCCTCTGGACTTCTAAAAAAATATTTCCACTTTGCTAGACAGTTCAGGATGTAGAGAGAGACAAGACGTGAGGCTGGGTGACATGTGGCCTTAGCAGACAAGTCAAGACCCTATAGGTGGTTTTCACTACTGCCTATGTTAGAGTGGGTGCATATTACGGATCTGCAGTATCTTTCCAAGCTGGTAAGGTTAGTCATAACTGTGTTTGCCTTTGTGTTTCTTCTGTATTCATCATATATTTCTCACTTTTGCAATCTCAATCAATGTTACCTGTTTGACATCATAATACTGATTTAACTTTCCTGTTGAAACCGGATTTAAATAAGTGATTATAATGGCTGGAACTGCTTGATCCCAGATCGATTTGTTACGTTACCTCAGGTAAGGCTTTTCTTATTAAGCCTTACATGTCTTTGCCTTCTTTGTGGAACCACCCACAGAAGTCACTGCTTCTGTGGGCTTTTTCAAATTAATGTTTTAGACTATTAACACAATGCCACCAGCATTACCAAAGTGCATTATGAAACATGATTTATTCAGGTTCTATATTAATGTATTACTGCTTTGATGAAAGCACATTGACAAGTGGCAAAGTGCTTAAAAGAAAGCCCTGGGGTCGATTATTCTTCCAAGCCCCTTAAAACATTTAAATGGAATAAAAAAAAACACATCTTAAACCATCTAGAGTACCTTTAATGGAGGCGAAAGAACAACAAATTTTTTTTTTCTCTGCAAAAAATAGCTTTTCACAGATTATCTAAAACATGGGCTCTAAAAGAACATAACAACTCACCTGCTGTCTGGGCAGGGTTGATTCCTATTCCGTCTGCAAGGCAAGCGTGAAAGAAAAAACAACATAATTTAAACCCAAAAGATTGTCATATAAATGACTAGCACAGAAATGAAAAGACAAAAAAAAAACATACATTACAATATCACCAGTTTATCCATAATGATGTTGCACTAGGCAACAAAAATGAAAGTGTGCCTCAGCAGCAGGCACTTCCATCTGGAATAATAACAGATCAGCCATTCATTCTGTACTGATAAAACTAAAACTCATATTTGACATGGCAGTTATATCTCAGCCATTTTAACACAAATCTCATCTCATCACCATTATTTGGCGACACTCGTATGTCTGATACTTTCCCACAGAGCCCTAAAATGCCTTCCTTTTATGACTAAACTAGAGCATGTGACAAAATACATCAGGCATACTGCTTGTGAATGTTCTCTAAATGTCTCTTTCTCAATTTCCTAACACTGTCAATACAGAGCAGAGGTAAACAAAAACATTGTCAGTTTTTATGTGGAGCAACACAGTTTAATTATTGGGAACAATGAATGAGCGAACAATTTTCAGCCACAAAGACAAGACAGTGATTTGTTCTGGTGATTACTATAGTTGTGGTAACAAGTATTTTGTATGAGGATGAATCCAGCTGAATATTTGTTACATTTTACAGGATTTTTTAGGCCATTATTTTGACTTAAAACTGCTTAAATGTAGTTCAATTTCAGTAGTCGGTACAGACTAATAAAGCCCATAAATTACGTAATGCCTCTTAAGCAGAATTAGTAACAGAAACAGAGTACTGCTTATACTCTGTGGGTTGATTGATGGTCGAAACAGCTTCACCCTCTGGAAGTTTAACGTGAAAGAAACACAGCAGTTTTCTCCTTTGAAACCTCAGGAACTGGATCTTAACCATCTAATTCTTTTTTACTTGGATTTGGCAGTTACCATTTGTTTCAGATGTATACTGTAAATGTTAAGGAAATCATTTGTAAATCATACAGCTTTCATTGATCATCCTGATTTATCATTGTCTGACTTTCATTTTCAGCCCTTTTTCCAGCATCAAGCATTCGAGCTCCTTCAAATCTTCACAGCTCATTGTTGAGGTTTTGA